AAATATATAAATATATAAATAAAAATCTCATCGGGTGGGAAAGCAGGGAAATAATCCCTTGACTGCTCTGGAAAGGCCTCCAATCGCTGCCACCCAGCTCTGCTTGTCCATTCAAAGTAGCCTGGCTCTTTCTGCTTCTGAAGTAGAGGTCCCCCCCCCCCGTTGCTGATGGGGGCTCCTGCTTTTTTCAAGCTGGAGCAATCTCAATGGTGTTTTCCTCATGTGGTCAGTTTGGTTCTCCAAAAGGATAGACGGCATGACCGTGGGTGGTATTCTGGTAACATGCTAAGCTGAACATGAGGTTCTGGACAGTGGAAACACAAACACATACCCAATCTTTCTCCCAAGTTGTCCCAACATATTTTTTACATTTCTAAAAAACAAACTACCGAGGTTAGTGCCAGTCATCTTATCACTCCATTGATATTTTAGTTTAGCTAGATGGGGGAAAAAAGGATAAAAATGGATATGAAATAGAAACAACTCCTTGCAAATTATAGCACACGGCTATGTTTCTGCAGGATGAGTGCATTCGGTGGTATGTTATGGAGAATCGTGAAAATCCACCCCTTCTCCTGAATGTCATGCAACACTTTAAACAGCTCGCGGGCTTTCCAATGAACCATGAAAGAAGAGCTGGGGATCAGCAGAGAGTGGGATCAAAGGAAGGGAGGCTTTTCCTGACGAAGAAAGAAGGCAGCCTTTTATAGTTGGTTTTGGGTTCAGAATTTCAATTCTGCACTGGTAGCTCTTAATTCGGATATAAATGGTTGAACACTGTGGGACAAAGCCTCTCACTCAAACTCACCTTATCGACTCTTTCCAGGTTGGCTCGCAGCTGTTTTTGCAGGCTATAGAGTGTAGAAAGGGAGAGATTCTCTAACTCTGAGAGCGAATGCAGGAACTGGGGGTCCTGGCCAGTGTGGATCCTCTCCATTTCTTCCTGGAGTTTCTTCACTTGCAGTTCCAAGGCTTCTCTCTGTTCTCGGGCTAGCTCACATTCTAAGGTTGCCGTGCTGGCACGATCATTCGCCTCCTCTGCTTCTTTTTTCCATGCATCACAGGCCTGCGTAACAGAGGGTGGTAGCGGGAAACCACTAGTATGAAGACGTTACTTATCTCCACCAAGTTATTTGAGGCACAATTCCCAGAAATTCATAATTGGGGGTGTGGGGGTGGAGGGGTTTAGAAGGGATTCTACTATCTCTTGTCCTCCATAATCTCATTTTTTTTAACAAAATGCCCAATAGGCTGACTAGCTTTCTTAACTCCTGAATCAAATGGACAAGTAATCAAAAAATAAACATTTGTTGCTTTTGTACTTTTTAAACAACACTCCGTAAACTAACCAAATATGTTGGACTGTGTAGACTGAGACACTAGGACTATTTAGTTCGGACATCAATAGTTTCCCACAAATTCTCTATGGATTATTCCAATTAGACTCTGCCTTGAGAAGGAGCAAGCACAACGTCAATCAGCAGGGTATCCTACATGAACAATCCAGGGAACAATTAACTAAGCACAGCCATTTAAACTCAATCCCAGGTAAGAGAATAATTAAGCAAGACAAGCTAAATTCACATCCAGAATCACTAGTCAATAAACAAGTACTTGATTTAAAGGACAGGTTGAAAGCAGAAGAGAGGGACGTAGGACACTTAGTACCCTCCAAACTGCAGGATAACGAAAGGGCAAATGGTGAGCAGAAGATCCATCTGGAAGGCAAACATAACCCATATAGCATGGGAATATTTGAAAGATGTATCCAAACACAAATGGAAAAATCCAATGCAAAGAGGAACACAAGAACATTGGAAAAGAACATTCTTCAAATCTGATCAAAACCTGCTACCTACTCCTGAGTACATTTATGATATCAACCTGTTTCTTCCTCCCTCAGTAAACAGGTAATTCATCGGGGCTTTAAAAATAGGATGGAAGGAATTACATTACAGGAGCATACATCTCAACATTAAAGGAAAGCAGATGGGGAGGGAGTTATTATGCGTTTGCCTTGTGAAGTGTTTTGTTTTGTTTTTTTGTAAACACATGACACATCGAATGTTGCAATGAACTACAGTTTTCCATGCCACTTTCTAATTAACAAGAAGTGGCATGATGAACTACTTTGGCATGTTTGGAGGTGTGTATAGTTTCCCATCGCATTCTGTTCCCGTATTCTGATAGATGCATTCAGTTTGGGGCTGTGAAGGCATGATTCACCTGTGTCCCTAACGAGTATCACCATGTGTGTGAAAGCACCTCCTTTTCATCACCAGGTTCTAAATTGTTCTCCCAGTCTGCCTGCCTTTCTCCCCCCACCCGCCATACAATCTGTGCCTTACATCATGCTACAGCTAAATCCTGCTATTTCCTGCTTAATAGTAGTATGCTTGGCCATCTCTAGCACAAGACTCCTCCTCTTCTTCCCTCTCCCTGGCAATGACCACCTGAGCTGGCATAATGAAAACTGTTCTGAAAACTGCAACAGACCCTGAACAGAAGGCTAAAGATCGCAATATCAGATTCTATCTTCATATGTTTGATTCGCTGTGTGCCTCCCCTGATGTTACGAGGACATGCTGGAAAGGGCGGATGGTATTATCATGAAGTATTACAATCCCCTCATTTCTCCTTCAGCCGGCATGAGCATAAAGGAAGTGACAGTGTCACACAGCATGCAACGCAGAGGGCGTGGGGAAGCTCCAAGGGCCACAGATGAGGTTTCACCTGCTGAATCCCTTCACACATCCACACAGAAGAAGAGGCTGACATTGCAACTGGAAAGCAAGTTGTAAGACTGAAGAAAGAAGGAGAAAGAATAAGTGGTGTGGAAGGGGCATGTGATTAAGATGCTCTATGAACTGCAAGGGAAATAAATTAGCATATAGCTGGAAGCACTGGACTAATGGCCACTGTCGGTCTTCCCTCACTGCCTCAGCCTGCTGCCTCAAACACCAAACATCTAACTGTTCAGAGGGATCCCTTTGGCCATCAGGTATTCTGGCAAATCCACCCACCCATGGGGTGCCCATTACCTGTTTAGCTTGCTTCCATGATTCTTCCCACTGTTTTATCGTGTTGGTAGCTTCATCTAATTCCTGCCGCAACCTGGCCAACTCAGCAGCACCTGGACCTGACAGAAATGCAGGCGAGGTACTGGGTGAAAAACTTCCAGAAGCAAAGTGCTCCCATATGCTGCTGTTCATCCCATTTAAACCTGTTTCATGCAGAGACAGGGAAAAAGTGTTATGACACAGATAATTCTGATTTAGCCCTTTTCCTTGCCCAAAACTCTTTTTGGAAAAGGAATAAAATGCTTCTTATTGGTTTATTTAATTAATTCAATTTATTACGGAAGGGGGGGAAATTCTCTCAGTATTTCACTGTTTGTCTGCCACATTGGCTTAAGCAGGACGAATGGCAGCATGATGCATGTTTCCTATTTGAATAAGATATGAAATGTGGCATTCTGGGACCCAAAACAGTACTGAGCAATGCATCTAATCCACAACGGTGGTATGGACAGGTACAGGAAAGGTTCAGCACACAGTGCAGAGCCTCACAAAGTAGACAGAAAACCACAACACATTTAACAGGTATGCAGGAAAATGTCAGCGTAGGCATAGGCTTGAATAAAGAGCAAACTAGGTACCAACCCTCCACAACAAAACACTAATTGAACAGTTCTTACTCCCATTTTAAATGTGATTTTAATCTTGGTTTCAGCACGACTGCAATTTATCTTCATGAATTTAGATTTGAAGAAGTATTTCAAATTCTCTTTTCCTAAGATTATGTATAAATCCCATTCTTTTTACCAAAGTCAGAGCTGTCCAACCGATCAAACCTCTGTCAGTGATTAATTGAATAATATACACACATCTACTATCTATCAAACTGGCTTATCTATTAAAATGAGTTCCATGTCAAGCCATGTGCAGTTATTCTGTAACAATCCACAGCAAAATCACTGTTGATTTTAGTCAGACATTAATTTAAGGAACTAGCTCCTCACATCAGAGCAACCGGGACATGAATCAGTTCTTAGAATAAGGCAGCCAATCTAATATTAAAGAAATAAGAGGTATTGCACAATTACATCCATGTAATGCTGATGAAAGCAGGGGAACCTTTTCAGAAATTAAACTCTTTCTACTTCTGCAGCTTCCATAGTTCCTCTACAAGCCTGTTCATCATCTAGACCTTGCTGGGGGGTGCAGCAAAGTAAGAGGAAATCTCTAATTATTGAAAATTGCTGCTCCTCAATGGTATTACTAGTGCCAGTGATTTTAGACAATTAAATACTTCCTCCTCCCATTCTACAGGTTCCAAATGATTAAAGTGATTATTTAGGAGCAGTAAGAAGTAGGAAATATATAATTTTTTAAAAAAAGAATGCCCATGCTGCTGATGTCATCAGCTGTGTGAACAGGATTTCTGCCATTATATATTAAAGCAGGGATGAGAAAAATATAGCTTTCCCAATTTTGTGGAATCTGACTTCCTATTAGTTCTAGCCAGAAAAGCCAAGAATTAAAAATAATGGGAGTCGCAGCCCAAATAAAACAACTGAAGAGCTACAGGTTATCCATCGTACTTGAAAGTATCTATCTAGCCATGTAAAGTATAAATGTTGTAAACATTTCCTTAGGGGGGAAAATAGCCTGTTTTTTTGTTTGGAATGCAAGGGATATCATGAAACCTTTCCCTGTTCTAGGTACATACAAGGTTTTCCATAGCCAGGACTACTTCTTTCCCTTTCAAAAGGAATACTACATATATTGTTTTAAAAAAATTTGAGGAAAGGTAAGGTGCTTGCAAAGGAAAGCCGAAAAGTGTTTGTAACACAGCTTTAGATATCTTTGTGAAAATGTGCTTCTTCACATTGAATTTAATCATGGTTTGGATTCAAGTGAACCTGCACTACTTAGAGGAGACACAGCTAGCATTAAGTTCATCTTGGCTCCAGTCATAATCAAGCTATTTCAAGGACTGCATCGCCCAGCGTTAGGTTTCATCAGGAGAGGCCTTCCTCTCAGTCCCACTGCCTTCACAGATGTGTTTGATGGATACATGGGAAAGGGGCCTTCTCTGCTGCTGCTCCCAGATGTTGTAACTCCCCTCCCACAGCAAGCCAGGCTGGCCCCATCTTTGCTGTCCTCCCATCTTTGCTGTCCTTCGACAGGCAGGCAAAGAATTCTTCTCTTTAGGCAAGCTTTCCCTCAATGACTAGCTGCCTGAATGAGATTTTTAAATCAATTGTTGCACCTTTACTACTTCAAATGTGCTTTTGGTGTTGCTTTTGTTTACTGTTTTTTAGTATGTTATTTGTTTGATCTTTTTTTAGTATTTGTAGACTCACTCCTATTAGTTTTAAATGTTGTCTTTTAACGATGTAAGATGCTTTTGGTCCTTTTTAAGGAGAAAGGTAGAGTAAAAATATTTTAAATAAATGAACAAATGGACAAACAAAATCTGTAGCAAATTTGATGACAAAAGAGGAGCCCGTTCAAAAGCATACACCTGAAAAAGATCCAAAAACTGTTAAAAAACTACATATAACATTATAGCCCAAGTCTTTAAAATGCCTTATTTTCATTTGCTAATAAATCTATGTATCAAAATAGCTCACCAAAAATGTATTTTCCAAGGATTGTTTGCCTAATGAGTGCCAAAAAATGCAGATGCCTTAGTAAGGCAATCCTGTACACCAGTGGTTCTTAACCTTTGTTACTCGGATGCTTTTGAACTGCAACTCCCAGAAACCCATCAGGACAGCTGGTGGTGAAAGCTTCTGGGAGTTGCAGTCCAAAACTCCTGAGTAACCCAAGGTTAAGAACCAGTGCTGTTCACCTTTACCCCAGAAGTATGCTCCAGTTCATACAGTAAGAACTTAATCCCAGGCATGTGTCTGCATTCAATATCCCATTGAATGCGCTCACATACAAACACACATTTGCTAGAGATTTTGTATGCAGGAAGTTATGGGTGATATAAGCAGAGTGTATGCATACCTGAGCACGTCTAACCCTTTGTTTTGGAAGAGGAATAACTGTCCCAATTAGGAGCACACATGCCATAAAACATTTTGTGTAACAAATTTTTTGTAAACCACCCAAGGCATTTGCTGATGGGTAGAGTATAAATCCCTAAAAAATAACCAATTAAAATGTATGTGTTGTGTGTGGCTTGCAGTATTATTTAGAAGGTTTATACCTCACCCCTTCTCTGTTTTATTAACAAGTTAACAGGGTTGCTGGGATGCATGCGATTGTTCCACCACCATGCATACACCAACGCTACCTCGTTATGCGTGTAAACTATATCCCCAGAGCACTTGAAATGAGTCTTTAAAAGCTCCCAGTGTGTGGACCATGGACATTTGTTCAAAGCAGATGATTATATAGTTGTGAGACTGACAAATGTGAGAAATCACAAGAGAAAGTAACTTTTTTTTAGTCTTTAACCTTTCTAATTCTATATACCATCCAGACAAGGCTTTTATTATGAAATTACCCAGTCTCATTCATGGGATTAAATAAGATACCTGGATGCCTATTTTCCTGTATTTCCCCATGATATTTTATGTCTTTTTCCTTTTTAAATAAATAGGATATGAAAAATAGTACAGTGTCTTTTGATGGGTAATGCTATGACTTGTGAATTTGGAAGCACTTTGTTAGTAATATCTTTATGTAGGGACAGCCATATTTTACCTTCTATAGCAAGGGTGGGTATTATATGACTTCTAAAGAACTGATGCTGCCCACCCATTCTATACTTGTAGTTGTGAAGGCAAGGAAGATTAACTTCTTTTTTAGAAAATACAAGGATGTCTGGCATACAACTCATTTCTGAAGCAAATAACACCCTGGAAATATCTCAGAAGCACTGTCAGCCTTATAAACAAGGGCCATGCACCTTGTTTCTGATGAGAACAATACTCTAGATGCCTTTCAGGGTGCTATTTTCAATATGGGCAAGCACAGCTGGTTTGTAATTCTAGGAAACTTTTAAGAGTGAAAATCGCAGCACATGCACTAATGGCATCAAGCCTTGGATCCAAATACAAAACCCTGGTAAGACCAATACATTTTAATTCAGAGACGTAAGTGCAGCAGCTAAATAGAACTATTTCAGAAATGTATTACTGCTATTTCATATTTTGAATTCACTTAATTTCCTTGTACACTGTACAAGAGTAGACAAAGTGCAGCTCTGTAGATGGTGCTGGAATGCTATTCCCAGTATTTCACACAGTCTGCTATGCAGCCAAAATTGTGCTCACGACCTGGGGTTCAATCCCAGGTAGCTGGCTTAAGGTTGACTCAGCCTTCTATCCTTCCGAGGTTGGTAAAATGAATACCCAGCTTGCTGGAGAGGCAATGTGTAGCCTGCATAATTACATTGTAAACCGCCCAGAGAGTGCTTGAAGCGCTATGGGGCGGAATATAAGCAGCACACTTTGCTTTGCTTTGTAAATTTATAATTCTTCCTATGGTTGATAACAGATTGTCATTGTTCTCATGAGCTGATATTATTAGGAATCTAGAAAGCTGTTTAACGCTGAATCAGATTATTAGACTATTGAGCTCAGTACTGCCCGTATCAAATGGGGGTGAACTGCCAGATTCAAGACACAACTCTCTTTCCCCCTGTTCTCTCGAGAGATGGCAACTGAACCTGTGATTTCCTGGTTCCAAAGCACATAATATTTACCACCAAGCCACAGCCCTTCCTTTCTTTAGGCTGTTCACTCTCTTAGCTACCAAAACATGGCCTTCACAGTACTTAAATGATGGCTATTCTTTGCACATTTACGCTTTAATTCAGTGCCATCCCACAAGTCTGAAGTTTCTTACCTGTTTATTGCCTGGCCATGAGCCACTAAATCAAATGTGTATGAGGAGGGTTTTGATAATTTGGTCAACTTATCCAAAATCATTTTACAATCTTTGTTCTTTGTTGCATGGACGTTCAGAGACAGTGAATCTCACTGTCTCATCCTCTGACTGTGTGATATATTTGCACAAGGTAAACCCTTTTGTGATGGCCCTACACCTCACAAATCTTCAACCTACAGGTAGCGGACACAACGTACGTTAGGCAGCAACACAGGATGCAGACAGTAAAATGGAAGTTAAGATAAAAGGAAAATACTTACATGGTACAGACAGGTATGTACATGTTAATGTACATGTTAACATGCATGCTCTCACATACACACTGGGCATTTACCTAATGATCCATGAGAAGCTGATGTCCCCAGGAATGTGTTTTCTGATTGGCTTAAGTGTCCCTGGGGCTGATGGAGGAAATGCGATGATAAGCTGACCGGTGGAGAAGGAGAGGCAGAGTGAAAGGAGGCAGAACTTCCAAGGGACCCAGGGATATTTACAGGAGCAGAACTTTGCAGCAAACTCCCACCTGGACAAAGAACACACAGAAAGGATGGGAATGTAGAAGCCATGAGTTATGAGTGGAAGCATAGCACAGGAATTTGAATAGCAGGGTGTTTGCTTTACTCTCTGCACCAGTAAAAGGATGGGGGGGGGGGGGTCTTCTCTCATTTTACATCTCTTTTTATTTCAGAAGGAGCATTGTGGAAAGTGATCCTCTGGCTAAGGAAAGGTAAAATAGCAACAGTCTTTGATGCTAGCTGTGCAAAATACAGGGAATAAGGGGCAGAGTCAAATGTGTTGTATTATACTTGGGACCTTGAGAGGGATTATATGAAGAGATATTAATATATGTTTGCTATTTCCTGTATCTCCACAAGCACAGTACACCAAGGCAGGTTTAAAAAAAGTTGCTTTAGTATTATTCCCACTATATGTTAGTGTACTTCTTTAAAAAAAAGTATCTAGTGGTGGTGACAAATGGGCATCCTACTTTTCATAGGTATAGGAAAAAACAACAATAACAACAAATCTGTCAGACCTTATGAGTTAAGTGGCAACATTCCACAGGGGCTACCATCAGAATTTAAAATAGCTTTCCCCACAATCATGCTAAAGATATTCTGCCTGCCAAAGATATTCTTCAAAGTCAACATGCTCATCCACATTGAGGGATGAAAGTTTATCTTCTTAAAAGTCACTTAAAAAGCAGGAAAATGGGGCTGCATTTCAATATTTGTAAAGACAGTGCTGAGGGAGAAACAGCAAATTAAATGGGGCTAATTAATAATTACATCATTTTAAATACATATGGAAACCATCTAGACTCATACGGATGAAGATGTGCTAACAAATCTGATCACTGAACTTCACTGAACACAATTGTATCTGCTACATTCAGTGGAAAGAGAACAGAAAAACCACTTCCCCACCTGAACAACAAATGGAGCAATATAAGAGTTAATTAAACCCACTACTGTAAAATTTGCTAGCATTGTCAGAACTGAAAAATCCTCAGATTATATTAACACCTCGTTTCTACCCCACATATTTATGAAACCTCAAACATGCCCAAGAGTCCCTGAGGAACTTGGAGAAATTATAGCAAGCTTAGCATGGCCATGGGCATGCAACTTTACTCTCTACTCTTCTAGCCTAGAAAAATCACAACCGTCTGAAATGTACTTATCACAAACCTATGGAGTTATTATAATAGACAACTGGCCGGCAAGGACAACAAAACTAGAAACCTCAGCCAGTTTTCTGACTGTTGGAGAAGGACAGCTTCTGTAACTATTCTTTCTAAAAGTGAATGGCTTTCATGGGACTATGCGTACACTCTGTGGGCCACTTTCAGATTGATATTATATATATATTGGTAGAACCTAAGGTTTCACCTCCAACCTATTTTGGGATTTTTAGTTGGAATCAGCATGGCCAGAGGCTTCTTCTCAGTGGAGAGCTCTCCGATTGCTAAATTCTACCTCTTCAAAGGAGAATCAATTTCAGAGAAAGGAGACATCATTTGAAGGACAGGGGTATGCAGCAGGCTATTCCAATCTGTGCGAATGCTCTAACCTGCAACTGCTGCTACTGGCAGAGTACGGGGAAACAGAAGACCCTTGAACATGCTTCTGTAAGGGGGTGGCACCAAGGAGGATGAGGCTTAAGCCGATGGATACATCCTTAACAGACCAAGAATTCAAAAACAGCAACCAATGGCAACAGAAAGCCGGGAATCCACCAGTTTGCACTTGGTTTCAGCTCACACAGAAAGCTCTCTATCAAGTAAATAATGGGATTCTTTTAATACGGGCACTTGAACAACCAGAGACACGCATACACAAATGAACACTATGTGTTTGAAATGATCACATAGAATGATGAGATACACATGTGATAATTTGTCAATGAGTGGCGATAATGCCTTGCCATGGTCCTGTGACAGCAGAACAGTGAGATCATTCCAATTTGTTTCCCGTTATTTTTCAAAATCACCCCCCCACCCCTTCCATCAAATGTTGATGTAATTTTGTGAACATGTTTATGGTGCCACTTTTAACGTACTACATAAAGCAAAATAAGCCATGCCTGTTTCATAAACATCATTTGGATGTCTGAAAGCAGTGGATTCAATTTCCAGCCTGCTAACCAATGAGGGCCCTTTTGCTCCAAGGTCTCCCATTGGCTGCCAACCAACACCCAACGTCATGGCTGGTTCTGAGAGCTTGTTAGGCTGCTTCAGCCAGCTAAAAGGGCAAACCCTGCTTGGCAGAAGATCAAAGAAAGCTCTGTTGCTTTCATGTACCTATCATGATGCCACTCGTGTGGGGCACCGAGCTGCTGTCAAATGTCTTCTCCAGGGCAGCCACTCCGAATTCGTTCAGGTCCAGGTCATCCAAGGCAGACTCTGCCAGACAGAGGCACCAATTATATATTACAAAAAGGACCAACAACTTCAAAGGACAGGGGAGCCCAAAGAGCCTACATGCAGAGATGCCACACTGCTCTGGATTGAAGAAGCTACTGGGCCCTACTCCCCATGGTGCAAGGCTGCCATCAGTCAACAATAGTCTAAAGAAGGCAGCTATTCACAGTGAATTCCCTGGCCTAATTTGAATAAGCCTTTCGGTATCTGGTTCTTCCTACAACCTGACATCAGACATAATAGCAACATGAAACATATCATCCTGCACACCTCTTGCACAGCTTGATTTTGAGCAGAGGTGCATCCAAGGAGGGTCTTAATGGGGACATGCTCCCGTCCCAGTCACTTGGCAGCCTAGATGTTCACAATGCATGATGACAGAATGTCCTGCTTTCAGGAATTCCACAGAGGAGTCGTGACTTGGACTGCAATTCAGTGATGGGGTAGATGGGCAAGAGGAGGAATGAGGTGCAGGTATGATCGTGGAAAGAAGGAGGTTGTGTGTGGCGGTCAGGCAAAGGGTGGGGTGAGGGGTGGGGAACGGATCAGAATACCCTAGGCAAGCAGGCTATCTATCGCCAGCATGGTCCAGAAATGAGTCAGCACAATTGCATGGATATTGCCAGTTGGGAATGAGATGGAAGAAGCCTGCAAAGGATCTCTCCCACAGCTATGCTTAGTCCATTGGCTGTGTTTAACAAATGAGCCCCATTATTGTCGTCTCAGAAACAATTCTGCTGTACTCACGATACCACAAAAATGTGGGATCCTAAAGATCACAAAAGATTATCTACTAAAAAAGGGATTCTCCTTTCTTCATAATTTGCATTCTTGTGTCTCTCACCGAAAAAGACATTTTAACTTTGGGCAAATTCTGAAAAAGATTTGCCATTCTACTGAGAAGTTCCACAAAAAGACTAATTAAAGACCCTATTCTGGACTAAGTAACTTTTTTAAAAAAAAAATTTCCCACCCCGACCTTTCCTTTCAAGGACAGGGAGTGCCTTTTTTACTCATATCATTCGTAGCCTGTAACAGAACATTAACAATCAAGAGTAAACGCAGCAAGATACCTAGAGAGCAGAAGGCCAGCATCAAACAAGGACAGCTATCTTTTGATCTAAAACTATTTTTTAAAAGGAAATAAAAATCTGCTTGGCAGAAAAGTAAAAGAAATTTCTACTCTGTACAAATGTCAATCTTACTTTCTGGGTATCTGGAGATTTAAACACTTCAACGTACCACCCCTTCAAGAGAAGCATAAATAAATTCTTCATGAAAGAGAGAAACTGGGTATGGACTCATTCTTGACTTGCACAAATGGCAGAGTTTCACCTTATAAATGTTTATGAAAAGAGCTGCTGAGTCACAGATTATAACTGTCATTTTGACTGACATTTTAGTCCCAGTCTGGCCAATCACAGCAGCACTTTGGGCCACTTTTGTAACCTGTGACCTTAGCAAGCACAGAGTAAGATGAAGGACAGCAAGCCAAATCTAAATGCACACATGTGTGTGCGCGCACACACACAATAAGAATGATCTACCATTCACCATCTTGTCACATTTTTCCAGAATTCAGATGTCATAAAACTACGTAGCTAAGAGAACTCTTATACTTGGCTTCTCTAGATTTGCAATCACAATGTACAACATAGCTCCCCTCTTTTTAAAAGACCCATCTCAAAAAGAAAAAAAAAAGGATACCACAAGAACTCCCCAAGAAATTTAGGTCCCAAACATGTTTCTCCTGTTTCTCATGTCTAACTATTCCTTTCTCCTTTCTGCTCCTGTCCCCACCCTGTAGGCAAGCATGCATAGGCAGTACATTACCTATTACAGATTCCACTGTATCACTTGTGGGGTAGAATGGAAGGGCATTGGCATTCATGCCTGGGACACTGCTGGTGCCTGCTGGGCTTGGTGGTGTTGCTGCCAAACTAGAAGTGATACTAGAGGAGATGCTAGATGTCAGTGGGCTGCCAGCAGGAAGAATTCCCAATATATCCTGACATAGAAAAACATAGTTATGCCTCTCATAATTCAGTCTAAACATGTTACAAACAAATTCATAAAAACAAACAAAAGCAGTGATAGCCATGTCGGCACAAAACAAATTCCAAACTCCAGATTGAGGTTGTACTTTTTATGGTGCAACAACAAAAAAGAGAATAAGCAGAGAGGAAAAAGTTGCCTGGTGCTGAACGAGTGTTCTCAAAGGTTTGTACATTTTTGTGTGGCTTTGTACACTTTTGTGCCTTTTGAGTTGCTCTATAAAGGCAGTACTTCAGCATGGAGTTTGGAAGTTGCATAAACAAACCTCTTTCTCCACGCAACCTAACCATGAAGTGAACGAAAGAATGGTATATTCTCACCAGAGTTAGTCAAGTTCTCTTAATAGCTTTAGAAGAGGTAGCTGTGTTATCTGTGCTAGTATAGCAGGTTAAAAAAAAGACAAAAATGTTCTGGCACCTTAAATACTAACTGCTATATTTAATACATATTCCTTACATCTGAGGAAATGGACTTGTCTATGGAAGCTTAAATTAAAATATAGCAGTTAGTTTTTAGAGTACCACAATGTTTTTGCCTTCTTTAATTTTAATTTTGTTTTTGCCTGATATGCTCCTCTTAATAATAATATTTCATTTTGTATCCTACAATTCTGCATAAAATATATTCAAGGCAGTTCACAGGCACTTTACACACAATGCAATAAAACTAAGGCATTTAGGAATCTTTTAGAATAATTTCACACATTGTTAACAGCTCCATCGTATGATCAACACATCACAGAACTTATGACTGTACTGTAAAATCCTCTCAAGAAGTTCAAAAACAAAGTAATTTGCCAAGAGAGAGAGAGAGAGAGAGAGAGAGAGAGATTCAATAAGCAGCACTAAACATTACCCTAGTTATCTCCCTAATTATTCATATTCAGAATTCTAATCTGCTCATCTATTCATCCCCTCCCATCAATAGTCTGCCTATCCCTGTATATATCTCTCTCTTAGAGTCCATGTTCCTTAAATATGTAGTAGAATGCATTGTCCACCGAGGCTACTTCTTGCTTTCCTGAACGAACCAGGTGGCATTAAAACATCTAGAAACAGGATGGAACCCTTTCATAGCAACATACCTGCTTGGGCTGTAATAAAGGCTGTTCTTGAGTTCTGTGGTCCAAGGAATGAGATTTTAGTTTTGCCTGCTGCAGTAAGCAGAAGAGAAGAACAAAGTGTTGAAGTTCCCACATCCCTCGTACTAGGGTCCTGATACTCACTGGAAGCCCCACACTGGTATTTTAAAAAGATCACACATCTCCCTCCTACATCTCATCCCCACCCCCACCCCCCAGGGTCACTTGCCAGGCACTCAGGATGCTCCCTGCCACCCAAGATTACCTCCCTCTCCCCTTCTTTTTGATAGTTTGGTAAGCTTCAGAGCAAACCATTGGTCTTCAGCTTCCTTCAAGTGTCATCTCCCCGTCTACAACGTCCATGCGGTGCCCAGAGACATTCTGAGGAAATATAAGTGCCACTGGAGGATAGCTCTCAATTTTGGAGCCTGTCTATTAAAAATAAATTAAAATAGCTTCGATTTTTTTAAAAAAATATTTTAAGAAAGAGCAGGGGCCATCATTGGGTATTGGGAAACCCAACGCCAAAGGAAGCATTCCAAGCAATATAAAATCAACAACATCTTGTTTCCTTCTGATATTCCCTGCCTACCTGGCATTTGAAACTCTTTAGGTACTCTGCTCCAACCACATCTTCTCGTTCAAACCCAGGTGCCTTCTTGTAGGTGCTGGATGTAGCTACAGAATCTGTGGGAAAGCCGATGCTTTCCAAACTATGGGGTTTTCCAATTGCACCAGGAGGGGACCCACATATATTAGATGGGCTTCCAAGACTGCTATTCCTACAGAGAATCTGACAAAATGAAGAAAAGCAATATATGTCACACTATACAGTTACTAGTTACTAAGATTAAAATACCCCCCTGTACTGTTTCTGTAATGCTTTAAATGTTAAAAAAAATTCAAAGAATTAAATTAGATATTATTAGATGATCTGAAAACATGCATATTCACTTCAGATTCCACACAAAACAGTCCTGTCTCAGTGTCTCAGTACAGAAACAGAACTTATAGATAAGGCGCTATTTGAAGAAAATCCTTATGAGTAAAGTTCACAACAGGAGGCTCTTTCACATTCTAGTTTACAAATTAGATTGCTTTGTTTTGGGACCAGTCATTAGGAATTGAGCACAGAATTCTTCTGAAGTCTAATTTCTCTAATAAAAAGACTGTCACAGTGATATTATTCCAACACTAACATGCTTTCAGCTCTAACGACTGACTATCTCTAATGCCTGTTCCGTCTTCGGAATCGCTGAGCAAGTTTGAGAGCCTAGTATGTTGAAGAAGGGGCGAGGTGAACAGAAGGGTCAGCAGCTGCTGGTGGATGGGGCACATCAAAGGTTCTGTCTGGTCTTGTGGTCCGGGCGAAGTGCCTGTTGATGAGGCCGCTGTCTGCCCGCCTGTTGGCAAAAGGGTGCTACAGGGATTCCTGAGGCCTGGGGTCTCTGTCGGCCCTGAGAAGGCCTATAAGGATAGGTACGGCACCAGACACTCCGAGGATGGTACTGCTGTGAGCAGAACGACCTGGCCATCTTCCTCAGCTTCAGCAAGTTGTCTAGGACTTCATCTGTCTTGTCATCAAACAGACCACACCATCAAAGGGAAGGTCTTCAATCTTTAACCTCGCATCCTCAGAAATACCCGCAGCCCATAGCCAGACATGGTGGTGCAAAGTAACTGCCATGGCAACCTGTTTTGAGGCAGCATTGATGATATGTTGTGCTGTTATGCGCTCCTGCCCTGCCAGGCCCATCGCTTCCTGGTGGCATGAGAGGCTGAGGGCTTCGACCTCCTCTGGAGCAGCCTTAAAGGGCAGGCAGAGCCCTATTCCATAGGTGCCAATGATATGGACCCATGGCATCAGTATAATTGGCCACCCTCAGCACAAAGAAAGCCAAAGAGCAAATTCAACGGCCAATAACATCGAGCTTTCTCTCCTCCTTGCTATTTGGGGGTCACCACAAAGCAGTTTCTGGCTGTTCTGTGTGGCATCGATGACAAAGGAGTTAGGCAATGGATGCTTCGAAAGGAATCTGTGTTCTCTCTGTGAGTTTTATACAGATTCTCCACCCTTTTGGGGATCTGATAAGTAGATAGTTTCACCCATGACTCTCTCACTAGCTTCATCAGGGATGAAATTAAGGTGAGGTGGAGGGGAAAACTTTGATCTTGCATACTGTCCTCAAATACCTTGTCTATCTCCTCTGATGCAGACTGATCGACTGCCAAGTCCATCATCTTCACAATTCTCAATATCAGCTGAGAATATGAAGTATAGTCCTTGGATAGTGAGGGAGGGTGATTCTCTGCCACATCCGAATCCGGGGTGGGATTGTTCTGAGGTGACTCCTTCTGCCCATCGATCTCAGAGGCCTATGAGTCGGTATCAAGGTTGAGGGGGACATGGTTCAGGGAGGGCAAGAGCTCATTGCACAATGGTGCCGGACAATAGCCTCCAGCCTCAACACGACCAACTCTCCTCCCTTCCCCCTCATACCTAGGAAGTGGTTGGTCTGGAGACGGCCAGTGTCCTGGGCCCAAGTCCAAGAAGCTCCTTGTGGCACTGATAGTGGGCAATGCTGCCTTTTCGCCTCAGGTAAGTACTTAACCGACAAGGGCCTCTTTCGGCAAGATCGAAATGGCGGCCCAGGGTACAAATCCTCCTCAGGGTAGCAGTCGATGTAGAACTGATACCATGGTGGCGAGGGCAAACGAGAATATGGCCCATAGAATCCATATCCATATATCTATAGTAGGGCTCAAGCCTATGCAGTCTATTTTATAGGCGAGGATCGGACTAAAACTCCTTGGGCTAGAAGAAATGAGGGTGTGTGAGGAAAATTTATGCTGTTACAATGTATATGTCTGTGGCAGTAGCAAATGTCTATATCTATGGCAATGGCAGGCCTCATGCTAAAACTGCAAGTCACTAGCTTCCAGTAACATGATTCATTAACCTGCTGTTTACCTATCTCTGGATAATGTAGTTAAAGTGTTCGTGTATTCAGGAACTTGTCTAACTTGTCTGTGTATTTGGATGTTATCTGTGTCTGTTTACTATTAGCTGTCTGTTTACCAGCCTGTCTGTTGATTCTGGCTGTGTATTCAGGAAATTAAATGCCTCTGTTTAAAATAGTATTGATTAACTAGAGCAAATGTAGTAGGAAAACAATAAAAGAAGAGGCAGCGAGAGATCGAGAGATTCCCTCTGAACAGCTGACTCACACTCTTCTTTTCCCCCTTGCTGGTCAAGGGGGAGGCTTCATCTACAAATTCCTGCACTGAGGCTTCATCTGCAAGATCCCTACTTCCCCTCATCTTGCAGATCCCAACAAGGGCGTTCATAGTACTGCATCCTCTTAGCCTTGTGATATTGATAGCCGTCGTCAGGACGTATAGGCTGATGCCGGGAAGTCTTGGGCTCGACAGGTGGCTCCAAATGTCGAGTTTTTTGTGTTCTCTTCCTAGGGGCTTCCAACAGGACTGACTTCAGTGGCAACATTGAGGCATGGCGAGAACATGAGCTCGGATGATACAGAGGGCTAGCCTGCTCCAACTGAAAGACCTCAGCTATGTCTCCAGTCAGGTGACTGAGTAAACTGTGGGGATGGCATGGCATCTGGCATCAGGGGGGGACATCCTCATCCCCCCCCAAAGGTATGCTAAGGCATACTGATTCCCATCTGGATCTATCAGTGGCCAGCGGCAACGGTGTGGTCTTTTCTGCCATGCGCCTAGGCTTCTATGTGGCTAACTTCTTCTTTTTCTTCAGCGTCAATACTGAGAGAGGCTTCATAGCCGTCGACCTCGAGCCCGAGGAGGACGCATGGGCTTTGATGCCATCTCAGGCCCTTTCGGGCCTTAGGAGGAGGTGAAGAGCCTGAGACTGGAGAATGCTCTGAAGCTTGGGAAGATTCCATTGGGGCTCCTTGAGATGGAGACAGGGACCTCTCCCACAAGAAGGAACAGAGAAGCTGAAATCTCAGCTTAAGAGCCGGCTTCATAAAGTTCTTGCAAGCTGCACAGAGAGGTGGATGGTATTCCTCACCCAAGCAAAACAAACAGCGGGAATGCCTGTCCAAGAGGGCTGTTTTGTTGGAGTAGGTCTCAGACCTCTTAAAGAGGCCCGGAGCAGCCATAAACAAAGTCACAGCTCCCTCAAACAAACAAGTAACAGTTCGTTGTTTTGGGCTCTTTTTTTTCCCCAAACTCACAGGAAGAAGAATCGTCGAACGGTCTGAGTCAGAGATCCGGGAGGTCCAAAAAAAGGGTGAGGTTTTGTGTGTGTGTGTGTGTGTGTGAGTGTTTTTGAAAGAGAAATGATAAGCTGAGGTGCTGCGGCGGTGGCAAGAAAGGAACTGAGGCACTCGGTGCCGGGTTAAGGGCAGCATGTGGGAGGTGTCCTGGCACCATGTGCTTAAGCTCCAGAATATTCTGAGGTTTCCCTGCGCAGGGGCACTACACCCATGAGTGTGAATTCACAGAGACCACAAAGAAGAACATATGCTTATTATTAAGTTGAAATATGGTTCTGTAAATATCAAAAATTTTAGAAAATTTTATTAGAAATAAAAACCTGTTTAAAAATGAGGATAAAATCCCAAGAAGCTGAACTCAGCCTCCAGTATCACATTCTGCACGTGTATAGAATTACGCGATACACAGCATTGGTACTTGTTGGAGTATGACACAGGGGATCTTCAAACTAAATGAGAATGATTCCTGGAAGAACCCAACTGTAATGTCTTTGATTCAACCAGCACTTGGTATGTACTGCTCCCTCCCCACTGCAGCTGGAGCAGATACTTACTGTAGTGGAGGTGGGGCTAGTTGGCAGAGTTCCCGGTTTATTCCATACCTACAGGACAAAGACAGGCTTTGTGAGATGAGTTCTTTATTTCAAGGATGTGTTTAGCCTTAATCGACCACATACAATACCGTGAAGTAGAGCACTGAAATGGCATGGCAATTCTTAGGGGGAGGGAAGGGTTATCTGAGGGCTCACACAGTATTACAATGTACTTATCATAAACCTAGAAGATGTGAGCTTTAGCTTGTCAGTGGGCAGCAGCAAGTCTGCCTTTTAAACAGTGATTTTATATCACTAAGAATTCGGAAGAATAATCAGAACTTAATGCCAGCAAAAAGAATAGAACAGAGCAACTATACCAGGTCAAATGCGATAAACACATAATGGCACGTAGGTTCTAAAGCTGCTTACAATCTCAGCATTTATTCAGGAACAGTTTCTATTATTCATGATCATGAGCACCGCAGATTAGACCAACAAGAGGGTACTAAATTCACATTAAGAGACTTTCCTATTTATATAGCACCTTAGGTCTGAAGGGAAAAATAAAATAAAATATAGGAATCTCAAGAATAAGAAGAGGTATCCTAAAAGCAGTGCTATTTTCAGAAGACCAATGAATATTGCCTTAATGGGGCATACTCTAAGCAGGAAATATTATATCCATTTTACAGTTTCAGAGAAAAGCCTCAGGCTTCCCCATATGGCAGTTCAGAAATGACTTCCAGTCAATTTAAAGCAGCTCAGCTTGTCTAATCCAATTTGAAAGTTGCAACTGTGATTTAAGCCCATGCCATTATGTCCCTTCAAAACCTGAGCAAACAGATGGAAACTGTTTCCTACATTTCCACTACAACAAAACAAAACACTTTAGTAGAAAAATACAGAGACTGGTTCCCTAATTCAAGTCAGAGGGTAATACTTTTAGGTCTAGGAGTCAATAGTATTTACAGAGACCTAGAGTGGGTGGATGCCTACAAAGTACAGAGATTAACACTTTTGTAACGGCCATACATACATTGCTAAGGTCTGGGGCTTGTGGACTAGAGGGGCTGACAGGAACAGAATCACCAGCTGCTGAGGGCATATACATTACAGGGCCTGTTTGCGTTGGGCTGGAAACAGTTGATGTTGGTTGTAACTCTTCACTAAGTGGAGGTTCTGTAAGAAATGTTAAAAAGACAAAAAGAAATGGTACACCGGCCGACAAGGGAATATAGATTGCACAGATCTCGTAAGAGCAGAGGGTAAATAGATCAGCAACTAGTGGCTTTAGGTTCTCATTTATAATAATCTATGATCCATCACAGAAACAACAAGAATCCATCATAAAATCATGACAGCATAGTCTAAATATATTGGTTTCTCTTATAATGATATTTATATAGAAGGTCAGACATAACTATTGATCTATATGATCTATCTGAATAAGGTTTCCATCACTAATGTTCAATAATGCCTATGAATAGCTTGCTGAGAGCAGCATGATCAGTAACTCACTTGGCAAATTTTGTTCATATATTTGTAACATAAGATGCCACTCATAAGATGCCACTCATTCAATTAAAATATTCAATTATAAAACAGTAGAATTAATAAAATTAACAAACATCAAAAATAAAAGCAATCATTACAGGCAACAATACGATCTAATCACACTTGCAGCTGAAAACCAAGAATGGACCTAAAACATACTCTGGAAAAGATGGAAGAAAATCGGTATGGACCCCAGACAGCAGTCCATTAAAGTCTCAGTAGGTTCATTCTCATCTATTCTAAAACCACTTTCAGACACCAGCTCAAGATTTCAACAACCCCCTAGAATAGGCAGATGGAAATAAAAGGGAAAGCTCAGTCTAGATGATTGCCCCCAGATGCTAAAAAGCATGAGGGAAAAGACAGAACACTGCAGCGCCTCACACTAATGGAGAGAGAAGTCTCCCAGCGCTATGCTGTAACACTGCTTCTCTAAGGAAGTCAAGAACCATTGGAACACCACAAAATCAATGATATTTAAGTCACCAAGAGCTCCAGCAAAAACAACAGGTTTGCACCTCTCCTATCCATTCTTCATTAACACTCATTAAGTAAGGCAACTAAGGCTGTCCGTTCCATACTCTAGTGTGAACTTTTATTGGAACTGACCTAAGTTAGAGGAAGGAACTTTGGTGTGGTTGAGGGCCATTTTTCAAATTGGCTACCACCCCAGCGTCTGCATGCCCAAGGGTGCATGGCAAAAATGGGTATGGATGTGGCTCAATGTCTGTTTTTGGTTTATTTAATTTTTTTTACGTTTCTAAAATAGATTACAGTGGTCAAAATCCTATTGTCAACTACGACATACAAAACAGCATGACGTTCACAATCTGACAGCTAACAGTTGCCATGTTCAGACTGTGCGTGTGTCCCACGGCACAAGTCAGCTGGCAAAACTGACTCCCAATGCTTGCTCAGTTGCTGTTACAATCATGTAACGCAATAGGATTCTGCCCAGCAGTTCATCATGTTACTGAATCCAAAATATGTGAAAGTAGCAAAAATATGTAAATAGAGATCAATATGTGGAAATACGTATGTCTGTAATTATTAGAGATATGCAACTATATAGAAATACTGTATGTAACAATACATACAGCTGTAATTTTTTTAAAAATCCATGTCACTATATAATAGCTAAAATCCCATTGCCATATGTTACGCCATATAAGGCTAATGATGCAACTTTTCAGAAATTAAAAATTTCCTATTTCTCTCCTGAAAGTGTTGATGCTCCTATGTAAAGTCATCCTGTTGGTGGAAACTTTCACTAATTGAAAGACTTCCTCCTCTCACCCCACAGCTCACAACAGCTTCCTGATGATGAAAGTAATTATGCAGGAGCCCCAGGACCTTCAATGGACAAATCAGCAAAGTTTAATTTTCAAAAAAATATTCCTTATGTAAAATTAATTTTACAATAGATATTAATTCCTAGCCCTAAATAATGGCACAAATACTTATCAATACATGAGAAATAAAAGTATTTTTTTTAAAAAATCTACACATTTATTTTCCTCTTATAAAATATTATTCATTCTATGAAAATCAAATTCCTTCAGGATTACTAAATAATTGCTGAAATCCTGTTGCTTAGCATAAGAAAAGTAGCAACTCTCAGTCCATTCCTAGCTGGCAAATAAAAAATCCCCACTGGGATGTAGGTTCATGCTTGGCTTGGTATGCGCACTCCTACCCCACTCCAAATTACAGTAGGGACTTTTTATTTGCTGGTGAAGAACAGTCTGTAACTTACAAAAATTTTAAGCTAAGCAACAACATTTCAGCCTTTATGTTAAAAAGAATTAATTCACAATTTCTACCTTTATTTAACTTTAGATACTTATTCACATTTACTTTAATAAGACATCCAAAGTCACCATAAATCATTGTTCTGTAGTACTCTAACATAGTGCCTGTCCATGGCCTGAGCTGGACCGGGCTGCGGAGACAGACCTTCCCACCCCCACCACCTTAGTGCATGCACACGAGTGCCTCCAAACATCGAGCACCCTTTGTGCATGCGCATGACTGCATGTGCCCGCACAAGCACCCTCATGCCCCTTCGCGCATGCGCATGAGCGCGGGGGGGTGCACTGCCTTCCCCAACCGGTCCGCAGAGTTAAAAAGGTTAGGGACCACTGCTCTAACGGTTAACAGTTTTCCAGGCTTAAGCCTCAACTCTTTACACTTAAGCAAATAAACAAATGTAAAGTTATGTTGTATAAGTGGCTGAAACCCAGCAACATAAAATTATGATGCAACTGTATTGGTTCATAACAAGTTATATTACATTGCTAATGACCCTTAGAATCCATTTGGTCCTACAGAAGTCTTTGAGGACAGAGAGATACAGGTCCAGTGGAGGTCTAAAATCTCCACTGCTGGTTCTGGTAGCTGTGGCACAACCACGGCAGAGCCAGCAGTGGCAATTTTTCATACATTTAAGACTCTCTCTCTCCCCCCACGTCCTGCTGGCTTCAAAAGTTTCCACAAGGCAGAAGGAATCCTAAGGGAGCTGAAGAACATGGGGGCAAAGAGTTTATTAACAAATATGATTGCAACTGATGACATCATGATGGGATGGTAAAGAAGTGGAAATAGTTAAATAAAATATGGCTGTAGCTGATAACGTCATCAGGGTTGTGCAACCTGACATTATGTTACTGGATTTCAGCCACTGATCTTGTATTGTAAATCTAAACAATAAATAATCAAGGTCTAAGGAAGAGAAACTTTAAGGAAACACCTGGGAAGATAGTAACTGAAGGTTTCTGCTTTAAATTAAAACTGACAAAATGCCTTGCAGATAGCCTTAGCGAGGTTCTTTTTTATATTGAGTGATTCACCACAACATTTTAGTGGTAAACTTCAATTAAAAAAAAAATCTACAGAGCACTAGGAGGCTGCTAAAAAGCCTGAGGAATGTAGTGCCCTCCTCTGTAGTTTCTGTTTTACTTGCAACCTCACATACTGTCTGCAGTTTGTATGACTGGATGGGACTTTTCTGGGCTGAGGCGATTGTCTGTCTATCGAGCAATAACCAATCCTTCTTTCCAGCTGCTGAATTCAAAGAAAGCTCTGCCTCTCTGCTTATTGTTCCCTCTCTTTCCTCGGTTGGTGGCAGCTGTTTGTTTGCTGTTGATCTCCTCAGTTGGCTGCTAAGTATGGGTGTAGTAAAAGAAAGCCAGATACACAAGTCTGTAATTTCAAGCAACTGTAAGTCAATTAAGTGCTTTTTTATTCTTTTTCCTACAAATGTGAGTTACTGAGACTTTATGGGCCAGTTAATGAGACAGCGGTGGACTCTGATGAACATGAAGCTGTTCTCCTCTGTAAGTCTCTCTGCTTCTTCTAGAATTTTCTCGCTGGCAAACAAAAAATCCCTACTGGGATGCAGGTTCATACTTGGCTTAGGATGTGGACTCCTTGTCCACTCCAAATTTTCTAGAAATTAAAAACTCTGCAAGTTTCTATGATGTATCTGTTTGATATGTCCACAATGTATTGGAGCAATCACACTGATAACCTGGGCCATCCCTTCATTCCAAGCAGAGGCCAGAAGCCTCACAGCACTGCCAATCTCAAAAGTAACAGTTGGAAACTCAATGGAAGAGGGCAGGATTCTAAGGGCCTCATCAAGCATGATCTGGTGGACTGAATGCCCTTGGCAGAGGACCATCGTTAATCCAGATTGAATTTATATGTGAAGAGATTATTTAGGATACAGCTATATTAGCAACAAGGAGCTACTTAATCAGGGTTGTCCTGGAACTATTTTGAAAGGTGGGGTTCAATTAAATTGCTTTCAATACTATACTCCTGATATTCTCTGCTGTTTCTTCAAGATTCACGGATGCTCTGAAAAAACTTTTCCTTAATGGCATTACCAGGTTCCAAAAGTTCTTTGGCACTCAGGATGTACTCTGGATGATTTTGAAATGAAAAACAAAATAAAGGAGCATCCAAAGGATACAGTAATAATGGATATAGTAATAGTTCAACTTCCATAAATGCCTGTTCTGCTTGAAAACAATTTCTAGAAAGACAACATTCTTTAGATATCCAGAAGAAAAAGTTGTTCTATAAAAGTTGATCAAAACGACCAGAGTGGAGACTTAAATCATAAGTGGTGCACATGACCTGATGAGAGATGAGTGTGTAGCTGCACCACATGGAAACAGCAATCACCGTGCTTGAATGGCCAGTATAAATGTTTGAATTAAGGGGTCGAGTATCTTCATGGCTATCACTTAGTGTTATTTAAAACCAGAATATGAGGAACTCAACACAAATATACACCAATTATCAAGAAAGATATCACCAAGTTTAATAGGTGAAGCTAATAAGTGGATTCCATGTAGGTATTAATTAAAGGCAGACAGATTTCTTTTTAAAAAAAGACATGTTGCTAAATTATTATTTTTTCTTTCAACTGACATTATTCAAAGAGACTTACAAGTTCAGGAAGCACTTGAGGCGGTTTTCAGGATAAGGCTGAGCTAGTCTACAGTACTGCCTCCACTGCTAAAATACATACAAGATTTTGAAAACTTGGTCAGTCAACCAAATGAGCCATCTAGCTCAGTACTGACTAATCTGTCCAGAGTAGCAATTCCCTCAGTAAATTCTTCTCAACACTGCTAATCAACACCTATTTTGGGGGAGAGGAATGTGGGCAAGTCCATGAAAGCTTATGCCAAATAAAATGTGTAAGTCATTAAAGTGCCACAAGAGTCTTTGTTGATTTTTTAAAACTTCTCATGGCCTGGGTCTTACACTTTCAGAATGAACAGGGTTATTAGATAGTGCTTGTGACAAAACAATCTACACCCACTTTCAAAATGCCTCTTACACTTTTGGAATTATTTCAGATATTGCTAGAGAAACAAACAGTGCTCATCATATCAATGTAAGTACTCGGGCAACCCTCTAAAAGGTATCCCCTTCTCCATGGCTATGCTGTACTATTTTTGAGAACGCTTGTGTTAAGAATTCTCCTCCCATCTAGACAGTGTGTCATTTCCCTCTCTAACACCATCCACAGAAAGGAACAAAAAGGCTCATGCCCCAGTCTCTTCATCCCCATCCCCTGCAATGCTGAAGAAGGATCAGAGCACACACCATACACAGACATTCTTCCCTTTCCTTCACAGAAAAGAGGGGTGTGTTCAAAATATCAGGCAGCCAAACTACAATTTCCAGCTACTTGAAGGCAGAACCAAAAATATATTGTAATTAATTTGGTTTGTATATTGTATTGTTTAACTTTGGAAAAGATTCTTTAGCCACCAGGGGGTGTTAGCTCTACTGTACTGTAATTCTATTTCCTCAAAGCAGAAGTGACATCCAGTGGTTAGATAGAGAACTTTATGGTTTCTTTCCAAGGTGAAGGGATGCTTATCTGTTTTGGAGTTAGTTTTTTTGCTTGACAGAACAGGCATAGGTGCTCAACTATGGATAAATGAATCTTTCCAGTTTTGCTTCTCTTAGCTTCATAATTTTCCAGTGTTAAACTAATTTCATCCTGTTTCTACATCACGTTGCATTTTCCCCCTGAAAAAGTCTGTACAAACACATGCATGTTTTTGGGCACACTAATCCTCAAATACAAGTCTTCACAAGCAATTTTTTCCTAATATAATGCTCTTTTGCATTTTCCCTCCCCCTCATGAAAACACACATTTTTGGGTCCATGTACACTTTTTTTCCCTGCTGGACTATGTTACAAAATTTGGAGAACTCTAAAAATGGAAAAGTGGCTGTGTTTTCAGCCAAGCATTGCTTTGCGAAGTAAGATTAGATAGGCTCACATTTAAAAATGCATGCCCAATACCCCTACTCTGAACCCTAATGTCACATCATTAGACGATGAAAAGGCCACATACGTTCTACATGTGCAAAGGCACAGAAGGGTCCTCGGGGGCAGCTGCCAGACTGCTGCATGTCATTGCATTTTGTTGATTTGTAAATCTGGAAAACAAAACAAAATATTGAGACAACACAGAACTAGCTACGTATTATCGGCCAGTATCATGTTCCGTAGCCTGCACTATCCATAGCAGACTGCCACCAATTAAAGAGTTTGTTTTTTTATTTCAGGGTGCACATAATTCATGTGTAATGATACCAAGTTGCCCAAACTCCAAAATAAATTACTGTTGCTCAGATGGAACTACATAATAGGACACTGGTCAAAATGTTTTTAAATAAACATCAAGAGAAACAATAATTTTATATATCCTGGATTGTGCTTTAACTATATGGGTCATTTACAGCACTGGATTTGACACACACAGGTCACTATTAGAAAGTTTACCATGGATATATACGCATTAATACTTCAGAGTACAACTGCAGCTGATACCAGATGATACGATATGCAGATGATACCACTCTGATGGCAGAAAGTGAGGAGGAATTAAAGAACCTTGTAATGAGAGTGAAAGAGGAGAGTGCAAAAAATGGTCTGAAACTCAACATCAAAAAAACTAAGATCATGGCCACTGGTCCCATCACCTCCTGGGAAATAGAAGGGGAAGATATGGAAGCAGTGTCAAATTTTATCTTCCTGGGCTCCATGATCACTGCAGATGGAGACAGCAGCCCTGAAATTAAAAGACGCCTTCTTCTTGGGAGGAAAGCGATGACAAATCTTGACAGCATCTTGAAAAGCAGAGACATCACCTTGCCTACAAAAGTCCGAATAGTCAAAGCTATGGTTTTTCCTGTCGTGATGTATGGAAGTGAGAGCTGGACCATAAAGAAAGCAGACCGCCGAAGAATTGATGCCTTTGAATTGTGGTGCTGGAGGAGGCTCTTGAGAATCCCCTGGACTGCAAAGAGAACAAACCTATCAGTTCTAAAGGAAATCAACCCTGAGTGCTCACTGGAAGGACAGATCCTGAAGCTGAGGCTCCAGTACTTTGGCCATCTGATGAGAAGAGAAGACTCCTTGGACAAGACCTTGATGTTAGGAAAGTGTGATGGCAAGAGGAGAAGGGGACGACAGAGGATGAGATGGCTGGACAGTGTCTGCGAAGCAACCAACATGAACCTGACACAACTCCGGGAGGCAGTAGAAGACAGGAGGGCCTGGCGTGCTCTGGTCCATGGGGTCACGAAGAGTCGGACACGACCAAACGACTAAACACACACACACACACACAACTGCAGCACCATCCTATGCATGTCTACTAAGAGATAATTTCAACTGGATGCTTCTCAGATAATTGCATACAGGATTGCACCTTACTACTCTTACTATTCAGTCAAAGATGGCTGCATGTATTGACTCTATCAAGGGATCCAGTTTCAGTTCACAAGCAAAGAGTGGACTACACATTCTAAGTACACATTTTCAGATGTATGCATTCTAAGAATTATGCTAAAGTTCTCAACCAGCTAATAAGTACACATTCTCTAACATTTAAATTTGAATCACGCCGCAGAACAAAATCTTGATTAGATTTAAACTGGCCAGAAAAAGAAGAGAATCACAGTTGAATTGCTTCTCTACTAAGTATTTTAAAGGATTCTGTTGACAGACAAGGACAACCATGTATGAACAATACTCACAAACGGCTAGAAAACAAATGGTCTTCTTAAAGACCTCAGCAGCATTGTGTACACTAACACTAACTCAGCACCCTTATATGCACATGGATATAGCACAGTTCTCGTTCGTTCATTCGTTTAGTGGTTTAGTTGTGTCCGACTCTTCGTGACCCCATGGACCAGAGCACACCAGGCCCTCCTATCTTCCACTGCTTCCCGTAGTTGTGTCAATTACATGTTGGTTGCTTCGCAGACACTGTCCAGCCATCTCATCCTCGGTCGTCCCCTTCTCCTCTTGCCATCACACTTTCCTAACATCAAGGTCTTTTCCACGGAGTCTTCTCTTCTCATCAGATGGCCAAAGTACTGGAGCCTCAGCTTCAGGATCTGTCCTTCCAGTGAGCATTCAGGGTTGATTTCCTTTAGAATTGATAGGTTTGTTCTCCTTGCAGTCCAGGGGACTCTCAAGAGCCTCCTCCAGCACCACAATTCAAAGGCATCCATTCTTCGGTGGTCTGCTTTCGTTATGGTCCAGCTCTCACTACCATACATCACAACAGGAAAAACCATAGCTTTGATTATTCGGACTTTTGTTGGCAAGTTGATGTCTCTGCTTTTTAAGATGCTGTCGAGGTTTGTCATCGCTTTCCTCCCAAGAAGCAGGTGTCTTTTAATTTTGTGGCTGCTGTCTCCATCTGCAGTGATCATGGAGCCCAAGAAAGTAAAATCTGTCACTGCCTCCATATCTTCCCCTTCAATTTCCCAGGAGGTGATGAGACCAGTGGCCATGATCTTAGTTTTTTTGATGTTGAGTTGATGTTGCACAGTTCTAGTACTCATTATATCTACTGTTGCAGTTTTAAAAGCCTTCATGTCATTTAGTTCCCCACCATTACTCTAAGCTTTCTTGTGAATGAAGGCAAGACATTAAAACCTTTCTTGTTGCATTTTGGACATCTCTTAACGTGACACAGATCCAGAAACAAAGAAGAAGAGATAAGGAGGTGTAGCAACCTTTGGCCTGTCATCAAGGTGCTGCCTGCATCTTTGTCTAACTGACACATGCATCTTTTGGCCTCCATGTTAGCCTGTTTGACATTTTCATACTCCACCAACAAATTTCCTTTAGCTTGTCCCAGGAAAATCTTATTTCCCAACCTGTATAAGCCAGCAAGGTTCTTACAGATAAAGCATTCAAGACCCCAAGCAATTTTAGCACCTCAAAATTCTCATTTCACTTGAAACATTCTTCAAACAATATGCGATTTCTGTTATAAATATTACAGTATATCATATCAGTACTATATAGTTTTCATGTATTTAAGTAGGTGCTCAGCAAGAAGAAGTGCTCACGATACCTCTGGGTGAAACTGCTGCTCTGTGCGGGTGTGACAGTATTGACATGCATCTCCATTGTCACACTTACTGGGATCTCCCCACTCATCTCCATGTTTCACACTAGGGCATGGGGAGGACCTGCATAAATAAAAAGGTGATGGAACAGAATCACAGATCCAAATTTTATGTATTAATGTCAAGTAAACATATTACTGTCCCAAAAAAGAGATCCTGGTCAAAGGTTTCCCAAGATCTTATCACTGAATTTTCTATGTTGAGTGCCTTCACACTTTGCTATGCACAACTCTCCAAAAAGCAAATGTAAGTGAAGTTGTATCCAAAGTTAAGTACAAATTATTTCAGATCATGTTAAACAGAGGCAGAAGTTGGTAGGTTTCAAGTATGCAAAAAAGTTAAGCCTCAACACTGGAAATGTTCAGGCAAAAAAGTGGCTCATTCTCCATAACACGGTATGTTGTTTTCACTCTTCCAGAAGAAAAGCACTCACAGCAGTAGAAATAGAAGCCAAAATGTCAAATAATTAAACAATGAGCTCTAAGAGTATAGGAGCTTGATGGAGAAATGATGTCTCAGAGAAGTATCTCACTGAGCCTTTTTTTTCTGAAGCACTACGTTTTGTCATGCAACATAGTTTCCACGTGGAAGCAAACAAGCAATTCCCACTCTGAAAATTGTGACAGCACGGTTTCATCACAGCAACAATGTCTGAACTGACTCCAAGGTTAACTTCAAAGGGAGTTCATTGCTCTCGGTTGGACTAACATTCTGAAAACTACAACCTAGAAGTGAAAGTAGGGGCCCACATTTATTACACGAGTGTCTTAGGAAAAAGAAGTTTTAAGAGATCTGAAGAATGTTAATCTTAATCACAATCTGGGGAGGTTCCTCCACAGATCTGAATCATGTGATCAAACTGGTTTGCAATACAATCTCCTGCTGCAGCTCATTTATTATTTTAAAATTACAAATATCGTTCTACGGGGGGGGGAGTACCCTTTATTTGTCAAAGCTATTCTTATCAACATTATTTGTTACACTTATAGTTCATCTTCCCTCTAATGAGGGAAAGGTGAGGTGCATGGCTCTGGTTCTCCCTCTGGCTTTATACCCACAACAATTCTGTGAAGTAGGTCAGACTGAGAGAGTGTGACAGGACACCCAGCGAGTCTGATAGCACCGGAGATTTGAACCAAAGTCTCCTGAGCTGTAGATCAGTCGAAATCATTAAATCATACTGGCTCTCTGTATCACAAGTCCAATACCAGTTTCTGAAGCACTGTACCTGTATTTGTGTTTCCTAGGGCTCCTTCTTCTATCTTTGCTATTATGATAGTAAGGGCAGGCATAACCCTGGCGACAAAGACGCGGGGGCTTCTTACACTGTTCTGTTTTGTAGTTTCCCAAAACATATGTTGTGTCTGTGAAGACAGGCGTGACTGGTTAATTCAAGATAATAGGCAAATTGGTTCCTACACGAAGACCATTGTGAGAGGAGAAGTGGGCAGTCCAAGAACAATGGACACCCTTGTGTAACATCCTAAGGAACTCACCTTGCCACCTTGGCTCTTCACTGAGTATTTTCTCTATCATAGCATGGCTAGCGGCAACTGCAGACTGACCCTCTATGCCACCCTCTGATGTGGTCTGACCATTCTGCAAAGCCTCCATGGCCTGAAGCTCCCTTAGGGAACAGAGTTAAATGAACAATAGGCAGATAGAGAAGATTCAGAGAAAGAGATGTGTCTACCAGACAGGAATTGCCACAACGCAGGAATTCCCATACATTTTTTAAAAATATATTTTTTTACCAAGCCTACTTTTAGAGATTAAGGGCTCAGATAAGCAGCTCACCCTCCCACTTTTCTGGAGACAAGCTTCACAAATAAAACTGCCCACTTAAACAAGATGCTGCCAGGCATCTCCCATTGCTGGTTCATTAATTCCCTATTCAACACACATATACATTTGCATGCAGGGACAAAGATTCAATGAAGATGGTAAAATCCTGATGGGATCTCAACTATTGTGCCTCTGCCAAGTTATCCCCTAAAGAAATCTACTTAAAACTGTCTTGTCCCATGTATAGTATTCCTATCTCAGAAATACTTTCAGTCTTCATTATCCCCTCAACAAATACAACATTCAATCCCCAAATTTCAACTTCAATATTTTTAGTCTCAGAGAACTCTTGGAAAAGACTATGGTCACCCTTTCTTTAAACATGATCTCCTACATACTTAACAGAAACGAGGGCAGGTTTTTTTTTAACCTCTACATGCTTGAAACTCAATACTGTAAAGACTGGAGCATCACTCAGATCTGGGAACCCAGTCAATGCCAAACAGTTACACGTGGGAAGGAGCAGGATACAATTTGCAAGGAAAAGATTACCAATTTGTTCCACTTCCATCACATTTTCTTTGTGCCCTCCCCATCATGGATTTATGAAGCCTACTTGTTGCATTGTGGGGAATATAAACTAGGGAGGAGGGAGCTGCAGGGGAAACATGCAGGTAGAAAAAGGGTCAGGCATTTCTTCTCCATGCAGAGCATCTCCACTGCAAAGCATATTCTCTCTCTCTCTCTCTGTCTGTGTAGCAGATCTTGGTGGTCATCAGGATTTTCACATCAGCATCTAGTCCGCACTCAATAATTTTAGGTTATTTGTGTTATTTATATAAATCTGCTTCCAAAAAAGTCAGGGTGAAATCTCATCTTGTTCTTTTAATTGTAAGGTGCTCTTTGACAGTTATATGTGAAGGAGAGAAGTTAAAATGCTGGTTTGGAAAATAGGTTCAATTCATTCCCACCTAACTTGCCTTTATGTGCCCGATGAGTATAATACTGAAGAATTAGCCCATGTTTGGTGATGAGACAGATAGGCACATAGTGAAATTACTCACAGTTACATTTCCACATGGTTCTTAGTCCTTTGATAACTGCCTTACAAAGTCACCTTACAACGTGGTGGTGGGGCAAAACAAATCAGGAACAGGGTATAACAGATTCCTTCACAGAATAAGAGCACAGGAAAAGTAGAAAACATACATGTTGCTTCTGATGTTAAATAAATCTTTATTTATTCATTAGCACTGTATACACTAGTCTGCTTCATTTGGACTTTGCAAACATGCTTCTACGGACTAGACCCTTATTGTGCACTAACCTGATATCATACACAGGGGAGCGGAGGTCATGGGGGCCATGAGCAAAAGCACAATGGAGGCCATTCTTGGTGCAATTTCCTTTAGAGTCAGTCTCATGGATACAGATTCCAGTTTTGTAGTATCGCAGGTGATATCTTCGCTCTGTGTCACCAGTAGTTCTATGCAGGAATGGACACCTAAAAGCAGAGGAGATGGATAAAAAGAGAGTCTGTACAAACCTAAGGGCTAAAGCATGCTCCCGAAAAGTTCTTTTTCAGAGGAGCATAATCCTCAGGATTACCAAATCCAGCACTTTTTTCTTTTGACAATAGAGATGTTAGTAGAATAAGGATATAATCCTCAAGCTATTTGTTTTGAAATACACTCATTAGTTTCTCTAGGATTATTCCAGAGCACCAAACTTTTGATTATAGTTTCAGTACAGAAGGTGGGGATAATTACAAGTAGAGAACAACATAAATTAATATTTTGTTCCAGTTCCTAATGTAGTTTTCCCATATTTCTATATATGATTTTTTAAAAATCATCCTCTCTATAACTACATGTTCGAAACTTCATCTGGTCAAGATATGGCACTGAGAAACTTACTCATCTCCTTCTGGACAGATCCCTGTGGTCTCATCATATTTGGTACAATAAATGTCAGGACTGTAGTTAAAGGTGCCATCCCGACGACGAATAGACCGGCGACGACGCTGGTTGACAAAGTGCCAATGGAAGCATGTGTAGGGCCTGTGCTGTGTACACTTGTGCTGCACAAAAAGCGGACACTGCTCTGTACGAAATTCCTTCAGGTATCTGTGAAGAGAAAGAAATTGGCTTGAGTAGAATGGAACAAGGCAAATTCAGAGGTATTCATCCTGCACTCCAATTGCTTTCTCCAGGTCTGCACTCAAAAGTAATTATTCAAATAAGTTGTTGCACGTATGTGTTTTACAAATAGAAATGGTGAGAACAGATGCTCACCTGCACAGTAAGTACAAGCTGGTTGTGCTTCTGGAAAGAATATACAACTGACTTGAGACCTGCTTAGCCTTTGCTTATTGTATGAAACAGTGCTTCTGAACAGAGCAGAGCATGCTTTCCTGCAAAGGCAAGAGAAGGGAAATGCCTGTAGGGAGAAAGAGTAGCAAGCACAAGAGGCAAGCCCTTGGAGCGATGTGACACAAAGAAGCACTACTGTCTGGAAGCATTCTTCACCCTTCAAATTGCACACAATGATTCTGGGCTACTGGAACAGGGACACTGCTGCAGAATTCTCAGCTAAAAGAACAGACATGAATCACATAATTCTGGGCTACTAGAACAGGAACAGCAGTTGACAGCCTCAGGAAGCACTGTAGCTGTGGATGGGCCTATGGATAGAAGGATTCCTTTCTACTTCCTGGAAGAACAAATGATACATGACTGAGGGAAACAAAGACATCAGTTTGTGGACCTGAAAGGATATCTGGGAGGTCCGTTATCTCCATTACTCAAAACGGCAGGAGCAACAGAGAAGCTTGCCAGACTCACCATGCCAGACTCACTATTATCTCTTCCATCTGATCCACATGGGAACAAATGACATTACCAAATACAATCTTCTACGTATTCTAAGTGACTACAAGGCTCTGAGTAGGATGCAAAGGGCCTTATGGAATTCATGGTTCTTTCTTCACTTCTTCCTGTTGAAGGTCATGGCTCAATAAGAGAGACAGGAATACTTGAAATGAACAACAAGTTGGGCACTGTAATGTTGATTTTTTTTTCCATTTCTGGATCATGGTCTGCACTTCCACTAAGGAGGACTCTTGACAAGAAATGTATTAAACTTCTTAGGGATTGGGAAGAATGTGTTTTATAGGAATTTGCAAACCTGATAAAGAGGACTTTGAACTGAATCTTGCCAGGAAAGGAGATGGTATTCCGGAGAACACAGAAACACCAAGTACAGTATTAGAAACAATAGTGTCAATGATGCATCAGAAATTGGCACAGTGGTACAGAAATACATTAGTGGATGGAAGAAAACAACAAAAATGCAACTGGAAGGAATAACATTTGGCTTCAAATATCTCTAGACCAATGGAAAGAGACAAACAAGATGAACTTGAACTCCTCGCATAGAAAACTAAATATGACTTAATAAGCATTATTGCCTCAGACGTATTAAATAGAAGAGTATAGCATTCAAAGGGAGAAGAATAAACAGGAAGATAAGATGAACACTATATAAAATTGACGTAAATACCAATGAGGATAAGAGAACTTGAAACACAGAAAGATCCATGACTTAAAGAATGGCAAAGAGCACTGGATAAAATTAAAGGAGAGGAAAATAAAAGCAATATCACTATGAGGATCTGCTTACACTGAAGACTTTGATGACACCCTCTCAGACAATGTACCCTCTAATTTTCAGCTTGGCATCTCTGCCATGTGACTTCACCCCCTGCACATAGGTTCCATTGTGATTGGAACCAAAGGGGCTGAAAAAACGATACCTGAGAAGAGGATGAGGAAAGCTCTGTGAAGGGAGGTGCAGCTGCACATGCCTTAGAGAGAACCTTGCTCTCAGATCAGATCACCAAAATTTGAAGAGGAAAGTTGTACTGTAGTACTAATGGAAGACTTCAACTACCTTGGCATCTGTTGGAACTCCACCTCTGCCCTGGATAAAGATCCAGCAAATTCTCTTGCCTTGCTAACAACTTGAATTTCCAAAAAGTGGAATCAATGAAATAAAGGGATCAGTTATGAAGCCTGTCCTTACCAATAGGGCTGATGAAGTTACAATAGTGGGATCTTCGGGTGGAAGTGTCCACAGCTCTTCAGATTCTCTATGCTGTGGAACAAGAAAGATTAAAGTATTCTGATGCACTCTTAAAGAAAACTGATTTTGAAGTAGCAGGCATCTAAAAGAATTAGTGGCAACTGCCTATGACTCCTTCAAATAAGCTGAGATTTAATAGAAGCAAGTGAGGAAAATGAAACGAGGATGTACCATTGAATAACAGTACAAACAGCTAATGTCGGTTGGAAGGATGAAAGCTGAGTTAAAGTTAAATATAACAAAAAGAGGCTTTTCAACTCTGCTCAGAGCAAGAAGAAAAATGAAGAACTGGTGGGCCCACTTCATGGAAAGGATGGGAAAATTTAAATGGGTTGCATCCTTTTCATACTTCAAGCTTGGCTATGGGATGGAGACTGCTTTGCTTAGCTCGATGAACAACCTGAAGTGATGTGGAGAGCATGCCCTTACCTGTTTCACTGGGCCCTTTGCTGGCTTTCAATGTTACTGACCATAGTATACTTTTAAAGTGCCCTCTCTCAGAGGGGACTTGGCGGTTCTGACTTGTGGTGGCTCCAATTTTTTGTGGAGAGGCAAACACAGAATGCAGTGCCACAGGACTCCTATTAAATATTGAGGCCTTTGGTTTGTGAGAAATCTTCGTATCTATCTTGCTCCCATGCTATGTAGTATCTTCACCAAAATTCTATGAGAGATTTCCTGAATTGCAAGGATTAACAGAATCAGTGTGCTGATGATTCCAAACACACATTCACTCTTTTTCCTCTCTGAATCCAATAAAGCTATTTAGTTTTAAATCACTACCTGATGTCAGCCAGACAGGTGATCCTGGGCAGCTGAAAGACAGGATCAGAAAACAGGGAATCAATCTGCACTTCATGTGGCTACATTCCCCCCCAAAGACACAGGACCATGGTTTGGGTGTACTTCTGGTTTCAGCATTGGCCAGGAGCATATCAGCATAGCTTAGGCCAGTGGTCCCCAGCCTTTTTCGAACCGTGGACTGGTTTAGCATGCAGGGGGGGGGGCATCCTTGGGTGCGGCATGTGTGTTTCCATGTGTGCAGGAGCGGGGCATGTGTGTGTCTGTGTGTGTATGTGGGGGGCATACATGCATGCATGTGGGGGCATGGGGGGCAGATGTCTCTGCGGCCTGGTCCTGCCAAGGCAACAGCCCGGTACCGGGCCGCAGACTGGGGGTTGGGGACCCCTGGCTTAGGCTACTGAGTCAAATGCTCTTAGATGTCTGAGGTATCCCTAATAAAACACGCCCAGGACTTGAAAAATGCACTCATCCACTCATCTGTGATGAGTGAAAAATGCTGCTGGACGAGTCACAGCTCCCTCCCTCCCTGCCTCCTTCCCCTCTGACTGTCCCTCTCTCTCTAATCCTGCAGTCCTCCCCTCCCATTGCAAAAGAAAAACTGCCCTCTTCTCGCAAGAAGAGAATTTGAGTGGTACATAGAGATATAGCTCTGCAGGAGAATGTAGAGTAGTCCCATGCTGGTGAATATGGAGATTCCCTGCTCCCAATTTCACCCAAACAAGGACACATCCTGGGGTGGAGGGAACCATGGCTCTTTAAGAGGCTGGGTGCTTTTGCTTTCGGTTTTATTTTTGCTGGAGGCATTCAAAAGAAATGCATTCAAAATACAAGCTTCATGACCCCACAGGCACACAGGTAATAAGGCAACCCAAGTCTGAGGGTATAAATCAGTGATTCCCAATCCCAATAAATTGCAAGGCTACACACTGGTCATGCTGACTGGTGAAAGTTTTGACTGACTGGTGAGACATTCTAAAATTTTTCAAGCCTTGAACATGCCTCACATATCCTCTGCTTGGAATACTGTACTCTAGCACACTCTTATGTGGGGTTACATTTGTGTGAATTCACATGTATGTGTTCGTTTTATGCCTGCGTGAATCTTGGAATCTTCTAGAGCTTAAAGAAGTGTTAGGACACACCCACTCCATCATACATGCTCTGTGCCCTGAGGGCAGTCCCCAGTTCCACCAGCCTGCCACTTGTATAGAAAAACAGTAGGAGTTGTGGAGAAGACTGAGGTGAAGTCAGATGGGTTATGTTAATTGATAGATGACTACTCAAAGAACTACAGTTACAAATAAGCAACCTGTCCTCCTCCTTTGTGGTCCCCGTGAAATCACATATACAGTCATGGTGAAAAATATTGGCACCCTTGCAATTCTGTCAGAAAATGCAAGCCTTCTCTCCGAAAATTGTTGCAGTTGCAAATGTTTTGGTACTCACATGTTCATTTCTTTGGTTTGCATTGGAACAACACATAAAAACAGAAATGTCAAATCTGATACAATCCTACACAGAAACCCAAAAATGCACTGGCTAAAATTATTGGTACCCTGTCTAAATTGTAAGAAATCATTGCTTTTCAAGCATGTGATGCTCCTTTAATTTGTGACTTCCTCGATGGTCCTTTAATTTGTATTTAGACACACCTGTGGCAAGTAAGAGGTGTGGGCAATATAGTAATCACACTTGCAACCAGTTAAGATGGAGACAGGTTAACTCAACTTTTGTTTTGTGTGTGACACTGAGCATGGAGAAAAGAATCAAGTGTAAAGAATTTCCTATGGATTTGAGAGAGAAAATTGTGGAAAAACATCAACAAGGCTACAAGTCCAACTCCAAAGATCTTAATGTTCCTGTGTCCACTGTGTGCAATATCATCAAGAGGTTTACAACCCATGGCACTGGAGCGAACCTCCCTAGACGTGAACAGATGAGCAAAGTTACTGAAGAATTACAATACTTCCCAAGAAATTCAAGCTGATCTGCAGACACAGGGTACAACAATGTCATCTCACACTATCTGTCACCATCTGAATGAAAAGGGATGCTATGGTAGGAGACCCAGGCGGACATCACTGCTGACCCAAAGACATAGAAAAGCAAAACTGAAGTATGCCAAAACTTATGTGACAAAACCACAATCCTTCTGGGAGAACGTACTGTGGACAGATGAGACAAAAGTAGACCTTTCTGGTAAAGGACATCATGGCACTATTTACAGAAAAAGAAATGAGGCATTCAAAGAATATAGTCCCTACAGTCAAACATGGTGGAGGTTCAAAGATGTTTTGGGTTTGCTTTGCTGCTTCTAGCACTGGGTGCCTTGACTGTGTGAACGGTATCATGAAATCTGATGATTATCAAAGAATTTGGGGGTGCAATGTAAGTGGCCAGTGTCAGAAAGCTGCATCTCAACCAGAGGTCATGGGTCTTCCAGCAGAAGACCCGAAACAAACTTCAAAAGCACTCAAAATTGTTACAAATAAAGTGCTGGAAAGTTCTTTCTTTTTTTTTTAAGAACTGGAAAGTTCTGAAATGGCCAGCAATGAGTCCAGATCTGAATCCCATGACACACCTATGGAGAGATCTCAAAACAGCAGTTGGGAGAAGGCATCCCTCAAATCTGAAGGCCCTGGAGCAGTTTGCAAAAGAAGAGTGGTCCAAAATTCCAGTAGAGAGGTGTAAAAAACTCATTCATGGTTACAGGAAGCAATTAATTTCAGTTATTTTTTTCCCAAAGGAGGTGCTACCAAATATTAAGTTAAGGATGCCAATAATTTTGGCCAGTGCATTTTGGGGTTCTACTTGCGAACGGAGCTTCAATATACGAACGGAAAAAAGCACGAAATTTGAACTTTCAGTTAACCGTTGGCCAGCGAAGAGGCTGCTTGTCTGCAATATCGCTCGTCCAAGTGGTTAGAGTGTGGATAGGGAGTGAGTCTTCAGCACTGGTACTGCCTAGTACTGTACAGTACTGCCTGGTATTGTACGGACTGTATTTTTTTTGGCTTTTTTAAATTTTTAATTTTTAGATTTTGACTTTCTTTTTTTAAACAGAGAGACTGCCTGTTCTGGGTGAGTACACTGTATTTACTGTACTGTACAGGGTTTTTTGCAGCTTGGGGGGGGGAGGACTAGGTG